CCCCTCGGCCCCGCCCCGGCCGCGGCGCCTCGGCCCCCGCCCCTCCACTCCTTCTTGGCTCTGACGCCTCCCCTCGCTCTCCATCTCCCCGCTTCCTGCCCCTTAGCTCCTCAGACCGCGTGGGGGCTGCCTGCAACCTCAGGGTCTGACACCCTCCACTAAATCACGGCCCTGGGAAAGTGTTCCTCTGTGCCCATTTCACACTTAGGGAAATGGAGGCGGGGATGGGTGAGCGATGAATTCACTGGTCTATGGCTGTACCGCGCCGTCTCCAAAATATTTACCCCCTTGGATCAGAGGGTGGAAATACAGAGACACCACTGGATTCTGATGGGGAAATCCAAGAGAGTAAATCATGCGTTATAGTAACAGCAGTGCGGGTAAAGAGCGAGGAGAGAGCAGAAGGGAGGAAAACACTTCACTGAATTCTGGACGTCTGAGCCCTCTTGGAGGATGAGTAGAATTTTGACCTGGGGTGAGGAGGATGAAGGCCATTAGGGTCAGTGCATGACAAATCTAGAGCTATAGAACCTAAAACTCTGGGGTCCTGGGCAACTGCTCTACACAATCTGCCTAAAGTCACTTAAGCAAACAAAAATATTGTTATTATTATACCGGAGGCTACTTATTCTTTTCCCCTCCTTCCCAGGCTAGGCAGTGTTCCCTCCTTCATTCATTTAACAGATATTTAACACCTCTGTTACTGTGCTGAAGACACAGAAAAATAGCAGATCCAACCCTGGACTCACAAGGGGAGACAGATATGTAAACACACAACCACAAAAAAGTGCTATCAGGGTAACTGAGGGTTGTGCAATGAGAAATGGCAACACTGAGCAGGGCGCTCGTGTCCCTGCATAGTGGTGAAGAGGGCTTCACAGAGGCGCGTGCAGGTCCAAAAGGATGAAAAGGAATTGTCTGGAAGACAACAGGCAAGAGAGGGATGGGCTTTCCTGGCAGAAGTTACCCATGTGTACCAAAGTTTGGAGATGGAAAACAGTTTGAATTCTAGGAATGATGAAAAGTTCCTTGTGATTGGGACTGTCAGATTGTGAAGGGGCTTTGCATGTCATAATCAGAAATTTAGCCTGTTCTCAATGAAAATCCAGTGGAAGTCTTTAAGGTGGCAATAATAGTCATCCAGTGACTGAGTGAGATGAGGGAATAAAGGCCCAGCCATTCAGGCCCAACATGAGACAGCTCTGACAGGAAACACTAGCTCTAGCCCTCTTGCCACCTTGATCAAGGCTTGTTAAGCCTCTTTGACGTCTTCCTCTGTCCTGTCCTGCTGCCTCTCCCTTTCACAGATGTTGACCCCTAATAAATATCTTGCACCCCAAACTCCATCTTAGCATCCGTTTCTAGAGAACCCAATCTGTAACATCAACACAATCAACACACACAGCCACTGAGTGTAGAGCAGGGACCTGAACCCAGGTAGCATGGATCCAGATGCTGTGTTCTTAATAGCTACCTGAGGCAGATTTACCATGAAATTTTTGAGACTTAAGCTTCAAGGCCCCTAATTTGCACAATCCCTTCCCAAAGCCCTCAGGATCCTGGCATGGGGGAGCCTAGCAATGTGTTCTCATTATTAGATGTATTTGTAAAATTGGCAAAACAAAACTATTTTAACCAAAATTGGTTAAATTGTCTCTTTCCACTCTGGCTTCCTCTCCATCACACTCTCTCATAACACTTCCCCTCTCTATCACACTCATAACACTTCCCCTTATGGCGGGAATGTTGGAATGGCCATGGGCCTGTGTTTGTAACTGAGTAGTTGTCTTAGACTGCTTTCTGCCCATAGAAGGTTGGGGGTTGTGGTAGGTAGAATAATGGCCCCCCCAATGATGCCCAGGTCCTAATTCTCAAAACCTGTGACTATGTTGCCTTACATGGCATAAGGGATTTTACCGGTGTGATTAAGTTAAGGATCTTGAGATGCCTCATTTATTTACATATTCATTTATTTATATCAGTATGGGCTCATGAATTTTATTGAATGGATTATAATCCATTACTTTGCTTATTTTGATGCTCAAATTGCCCTAGAGTTGGCCAGTGGTAGCCCTTCAATCGGGCTCCTGTGTCCTTTTGATATGTCCCCTTCATTCCTTGAGCACTTCCATACTTTGTTATTTGCAAGATATTCCAGGTCATCTTGTACTTTCCTTGCCCCAGTCCTGAAATCAAGCATTTCCCCCATGAGCCCTGGTTCTTTTTAGTGGAGTAGAGTATTCAGAAACCAAGATCTGGGTGCTAGGTATGCTTACTGCAACTGGGTTTTCTCTGCTCCCAGGTCCTCCCTCTCAGCAGACAGAGCTAGGAAATTATATATAACTTTGTTAAACTTATTCATAAGTTTTTTTTCTTTTAAAAATTGAGTTATAATTCACATAGTATAAAACCCTCATTTTTAAAGTGTATAATTCATTGGTTTTCAGTATATTCACAAAGTTGTGCAACCATCACCGCTATCTAATTCCAGAATATTTTCTTCACCCCAGAAAGAAACCCTATATCCATTAGCAGTCATTCTCCATCCCCTTCACCTGTGGCAACCACTAATCTACTTTCCATCTATATGGATTTACCTACATGGGCATTTCATATAAATGGTTTTGTTTTTGATACAATAGTAAATGGAGTAGTTTCCTTAATTTCATGTTCAGATTGTTTGTTGTTAGTATATAGAAATACAATTGATTTTTGTATATTGATCTTGTATCCTGTAACCTTATTAAAACTGTTTATTATGTCTAATAGTGTTTTTTGTGGATTCCTTATGATTTCATATATAAAGATCATAACATTGGAAAATATAGTTTACTTCTTCCATTCCAATCTGGATGCTTTTTATTACTTTTTCTTGTCTAATTGCCTTGGCTAGAACCTCCAGTATAATGTTGAATAGAAGTGACAAGAGAGGACATCCTTGTCTTGTTCTAGATCTTGGGGGAAAGCTTTCAGACTTTCACCATTAAGTATGATATTAACCGTGGGTTTTTTGTCAATGCCCTAATTAGGTTGAGGAAGTTCTTGTCTGTTCCTAGTTCACTGAATGCTTTTATCTGTCAAATATGTTTTCTGCATGTATTGAGATGATCACGTGGTTTTTATCCTTTACTCTCTTAATATGATGTGTTACAATGATTGATTTTTTTGTTGAACCAACCCTGCATTCCTAGGATAAATCTTGTTTGTATCTTGCTGGATTCATTTGCTAATATTTTGTTGAGGATTTTTGTATCTATATTAACAGGGGGTGTTGGTTTGTAGTTTTCTTATGATGTCTTTGTCTGGTTTTGACATCAAGATAATACTGGACTCACAGAATGAGCTGGGAAATGTTCCTCCTCAGTCTATTTTGGAAGAATTTGTGAAGGATTGGAGTTAATTTTTCTTTAAACATTTGGTGGAATTCACCATTAAAACCATTTAGGCCTGGGCTTTTCTTTGTGGGAAGTTTTTTGATCACTGATTCAATTCCTTTAGCAATTATTTTAGAGCAAGTCTGCTGGCAATGAATTCCTTTATTTTTCTTTCATCTGAGAATGTCTTTATTTCAATTTTATTTTTTGTGCTGGCCTCCATGGTTTCTGAAGAGAAATACATAGTCGTTGAAATCATTGTTCCTCTATAAGCAATGCATATCTTTCTCTGCTTGGTTTCAAGAATTTTGTCTTTGTCTTCCTTTTTCAGAGGTTTGATTTATGATGTGGGAATGAATTCTGGTGGGGAGGTTATCCTGTTTGGGATTTACTGAAATTCTTGAATCTGTAGGTTTATCTATTTTGTCAAATCTGGGAAATAGTCATATATTATTTCTTCAAATACTTCTTTTTCAAAATCTTCTTCTGGAATTCTGATGACATAAATTAGGTACTGCCTCACAGGTCATTAAGGCTTTGTTCACGTTTTAAAAAATGTTTTTTCTCTGTTGTTCAGATTAGATAATTTCTATGGATCTGTTTTCAAGTTCACTGGCTCTTTTCTCTGTCATGTCTGTTCTGCTATTGACCCCATCAGTGATTTTTTTATTTTCGTGATTGTACTTTCAGTTCTAACATTTCCATTGGCTTCCTCTTTATATCTTCTATTTCTTTGTTGATACTTGGTACCTTTCCATTCATTTCAAGAGTGCTCACCCTTACTACTTGGAGCATTTTATAACAATCTTCAACAATTTCAACATTTGTGTCATTTCTTCTTTGACATCTATTGATTTTCTTTTCTCATACTAATTGAGATTTTCCTGGTTCTTCATATGTTGAGTAATTTTGGATTAAATACTAGACATTTTGAATATTATAAGTGTCTAGATCTTGTTTAAATTTTATGGAGAATAGTAATATTTTTGTTTTAGCATTCAATTGACCCAGTCAGATTTAGAAGTCCTGACCTGGGCCAGCCCTGGTGGCCTAGTGGTTAAGTTTGGCACACTCTGCTTCTGTGGCCTGGGTTTGGTGCCCAGGTGCAGACCTACACCGCTGGTCGGTGGCCATTATGTGGCAGTGGCCCACATACAAAATAGGGGAAGATTTGCAACAGATATTAGCTCAGAGCAAATCTTCCTCAAGCAAAAAGAGGAGGATTGGTGACGGATGTTAGCTCAGGGCAAATCTTCCTCAGCCAAAAAAAAAAGGTCTTGACCTGACTTCTGTGGTTGTGGTTCCAATGTCAGTTCAGCTTTCAAAGCTTTTGCAATGCTATTCAGATCTGTCTCAGTTGTGCACCACCCAGTGGCCAGTCTTGGATCTGGACAGTGGCCTATGCCATACCTCAGTACTCAA